TCCACACCCACACAGCCTTTTTTTTCTTTTTGTCAACATAGATAACTGTACTAGTAGTAACGTGGGTACCTTTATACAGACTTGTTTCATTACAGTAGGAATAAAAGTGATTTGGCATATTGTTCAAAGGTGTACAAGCAGCTCCTCATAGTGGTTTCAGTTCAGTTAAGTTGGGTATTAATGATCTGTAGACTTCCCTTCCTTCCACACATTGTGGTAGAAAAGTTGCCGTTTTTTCCCCTGGCTTTGCAAAGGCAGATATGTGTGCAAAGTGAGATCTTATTAATCAGTTATTCTCTCTTTTTTTCTTAAACTTCCCTTTTATTTGTTCTTCTTTCTATGTGGTGATCCCCATGGCAACAGATGGAACAGATCCAGGATCTGTAATTACTATTATTAACAATAACAACCATGGTGATACCAATCAGAAATAATGGGAGAAAAATATGAAAAAATTAAGTTTTAACTGTATGTAAGTTTACAGCTTCAGAAGTGAGCATCAGAGAAACCAAGAAAGTCACTCGGAGCCCAGTTAGTGAGCATTGGTTAGCTTTTCCTAGGAAAGAGAGATTTCACCCCAAGGATGGTGATGGAGAACGTTCTAGAATATCCTGCCTTTACCGCTGTGCTGGCTCCTTGTGTAACTTCTTTTTCTTTTCTTATGCTATTTTTAATTGTTACTGCTTGTGTGTGTGATCTTATAATTTAAAAGTTACTTTATATTTGGACCATTACATAACACATGCATAGTGCAGATGCTTTGCAAATGCTGGAATTAAGAACCTGGCATATTACAAATGGCTGTGGTGAATTAATCTTTGCATTTGACAGGGATATTCAGGAAGTGCTAAACTGCTGGGTGCAAGCCTGGTTTCTGGTAGCTTGAGGATGAAGGTCACTTCTTGATCAGCCAGCTCTTGAGGAAATACTGCACAGCCTCCATTAATACTGTCCCACTCCCCCCAACCCCATCACCAACACTCCCCTGGCAGGTCTCTGGGGACTCCTGTGAAACTTCCAGGGATTGTAACAGCCTGAGATGCTGTCATTGTATATACCACTGTCTCTGCCAAGCAATGGCAATATTTTGGAAGAATTACTGTGTCTTCCTCTGATGTGTGTACTCTATTGGCTAGCATATCACAAATAGGGCATGCATTTGTGCATGAGAATGAATAAAATTTCATACCCTGGAAGACTGCATAACTATATGAAGACAGATTTGAAAGTTAAAAGTCTTGATGCAATTTGAGCAATACTTTGTTTCTATAACACTACATTGTTATAGCTATTACATGATTCTTTGGAAGTCTAGCACACATGTTATCTGATGGTCCATGGCCTGTAACTCTTTTATATGAAAATGTGGCATGACATTTGATATGCATCTGTCTAATGAGATCATCCACATTCATGTCTGCCCTAAACTAGGCACGGCGGTGCACTCCTATAAATCCTAGCATTTGGGAGGCTGAGACAGGAGGATTGCCATGAATTCAAGGTCATCTTGGAATATTTTGTTTTTAAAAAACCAATAACAGGAGCCAGGAGATTAGCTCAGCGACCTAAGTGCCTGCTTGGCAAATGCAAGGTTGTGAGTTCAATCCCTGGCACAGACACAAAGAAAACAAAACAAAACAAAACAAAACCATAAGAGTAAATATATCAAATAGATAATAACTGTTACTTTAAGGAAAGTAGGATGCTTAGTGAAGCATCCTCAGCCCTAGTCTGTTACTAATAATGAATAGTGGATTACTATCTGTTCAAAATCTCTCATTAAATTTTCTCATAAATAAATGGAAATGATCTTGAATATGTTGGTATACATACACCGGGGGAAATTACAGAAAGGAAGCTGTTTCTAATCATGAGATTGAATGGTGGTAGACAGCAAAAGTTTTGAAAGAGTATAAACTGGGTAACAAGTGGTAGAAGCAGCAATATTATGAAGATTTTTGGGTCTGTGTGTCCCAAAAAACAAATTCTCTTAAAAAAATTTCAAGGAATGCTAAGAATACCAATAGAGGCACACATGAAGCTATTGCACATTGAAATAAGAACTGAACAAGGAGGAAGTAATTTATTACATCAGCAGCAGCTGTGCTGCAAAGAATTGCAATCCATCATTTATGTTAACCTCATTTGAAGAATGAACACTCCACCTCATCCTCTATAGGGAGTGAAATTCAGGTGCTAATTCCGCTCACTGTTGCAGTAAAGTTCAAATATAGAGATAGAAATAAAGATAGCAACATAGATACATACATGTATGTATGTATACACATATATGAATATGTATAGATATGTATATGTACATATACATATATGTATAGATATATCTTTTTAATGCCAAACAAGCTTTTCTACATCCCTATTACAGGGATCAAGTCATTATGATGCTCTTATGGATGAAAAGAATCGTGTTAACTTCATTTCCAGTGGGAAAACTCTAGAGATATATAACTTGTTGTGGTGGTTTGTTTACATGTCCCTCCAAAGTCTCATGCAGTCATGGAGGTGACTGAATTTAGTGCTGGTGTCTGGTTTGTTGTTGAGCGCTGAGATTGGCAGCGTGAGTGCTGCACCCACCAAGGGTCTGTGAGCATCCAGCCTACAATATAGGGAAGGGAAGGAGGCTTGCTTTTCCCTTTTTCCCTTTTCTGTCTTGTTACTTGAGGCTGCCATGAATAGCTGCACCCTGCCTTGGAACCACCTGAGTATGGACGGAAACTTCCTTAATGAGCTAAATAAACCTTTCCTTCCTTCATTTTAGATATTGGGTATTTTGTCCCAGCAATGACCGAAAAATAACCAAAATACCTGTCAAGGTTTCAGTGGTAAAATGGGGCAGAGCACATCGTTTTCTTTTTCTTCCCTCAAGCATCATGGTCATCACAAAGTGCCCATATTTATTCTTCCCACAACAATTCATTATTGAATGATAACTTTGGTTATTTTATTAGTGTTTGTCTATACTGGTATGAATATTGTTAAAGGTTCAAGTTAATTTTTTGTAATGTTATCATGCTTTGTTTTTATTTTAAAAGGCAAAAACCTAGGGATATTCATTTTTTTTTTTTTTTGAGACTTAACACACAACCTTCTCCAGAGAAACACTGAGGATGTAGAATATTGATGGGATGGTTTTTAAGATGTGTGTGTGTGTGTGATGTGTCAGGTTTTTACATACCATCCAATTAGATAATGGAAGGTTTATCTCCATTTTGAGGGTTAGAAAATCCTTTGGAGATACTTAAAATCAAGTGCTTCCTCCTTCTTTCCCTTCCCAATGTGCTGGAATTGAGCTACGGAGAGACGAAGTGACGTGTCGGTCACATGCATAGCATGCCAAGCACCAAAGAAAAGTCACTTTCTCTTTTCTTCTTTTTTGGGCAGGAGGCTAATTCACACCAACAACTCCAACACTCCTTAGCAGTGCTTACTAATAGTGGCTCATTCCAGCATATTTGCTCATCACCGCTGTCTAAGAGCTAGGCCTTAAATTATTTCTTTACCTTATGGACTTTAGCTTCCCATATAAAACTAAAAGGGGGGAAAAGGGAAGAAACCACATGATTTCTATGTTAGGTTTCTTTTCAGCTCTGAGAATCTATGAAGAACAATGAAGCAATTATGTGGGAGAGAGACTCAGATGACAAAAGCTTTTCAAATCTTCCTCTTTCCTCCTTTCTTTATTAGGGAGGAAGCTCAGAATTGCATTGCACGTCCAATTGCACTAAGTGTTTTGGCCCAGGCTATTGTAACAGAGTGTCTGATGCAGGCTACACAGTTCTTACAATTTAATACTTTTGGTTGCTATTTCATATTTTCTGCTTTGTAGCTCACACTACTGGCCTGTTTTTTGTAGTCATTGTTGTGTTGTAGCTGATGACAATATTCAGCTTCAGAAAAGTTAAACCTTATTCAGGTTTATTGTTGTCAGAAATAGGTTCCTAATACAGCTTTCCTAGCCTCAAAAACTTGAATTCCTCTCTCTCTTCTTGCTGTCAATTCTTTTCTGCCTTGTCCTGTTACTCTGATGAAGAGGTCTTTATCTCTGTTTCCTCTTTCACCATAAAACTTTCTGAATGTTTTTGACAAGTATGTGAAATGGAGCATAAATATATAAATATTACAGTCAAGTGGATTGCAGGTATAAGATTGATCCTATAATTTTGACTATGTAGCTGACATTATATTTTACATTAATTGTTATATGGAAGCCTCATTTTCAAAATGACACTTATAGTTCTTTGGAAAACTTATTTAAATTCGTGTCTCTTCTGTGAAGAAGTAGAGATAGTAGATAGCATTGTGAGCTTTGATGTTGGAAGCCCTCAATTGATATCCTTGCTTGTACACTTTCTGTACACTCTTGGGACAGCTACCTATTTCTCATTCACATTTTCCCTGTTTTTGACATGGCACTATTGGTTTTCTTCCAGTTTAGTTACACTTAGTTCTCTGTACCTTTGAGGTCCTTGTCTGAGGTTTCAATCAATCTCAGAACAAATGTATTTGGATCAATTTGTGTCTGTGTTGAGTATGTACAGACATTTTCTATGTTATTATTCTCTAAACTATTTACACAGGGTTTAAGTAATCTGGAGGTGCTTTAAAATATAAAGGGGATATGCATAGGTTATTTGTGAATACTATACCATCTTATATATAAAGAACTTGAACACCTAAAAAATTGGGTCTTCCCCAGGGGTCCTAGAACCAATCCCACACTGATGCAGTGGTAAGACTCTATTGTCAGCTTTAAAGAAGATAGTTAAATAGTTAGCATAAATTCTTTGAAATAAGCACTCCAGCAATACAGCTGCTAACAGAACAGAACTCTATAAGGAACACCCACCCTTGGCATAAGTAGAACAAACACATAGATGGTGACTATCTATGGCACCTAAGTGACACGTAAGTATCACACTGCTGGCCTGCCCTTCTTTTTACTTTCCTTTTAACATGTATTGCTGTTGATGTTTTCTTGGCAGAGGACAAGATCTGGATGTCAGTGCAGCACAACAACACAGAGCTGACACGGGTGCATGACGCAAGCCCCCAGAAGCCCTACACCATGACCTTGGACTATGGCAGCAGCCTGGAGCAGCTGGAGGCCTTGATCGATGACTCAGAGCACTGTGAGCAGGAGGTGGCCTACCACTGCAAGAGGTCGCGCCTGCTCAACACGCCTGGTAAGGCCAAGGGTGGGGACAGTGGGGCACAGGAGCCTCTGACACCTAGAACATCAAGAGGCGGAGCATTTGCCAAGACGGGCTTTGTAGTTGTGGTTGTTCAATGTCCAGTGGCAAAAAATGAGACAAGGAAAGGCCTGGTTATGACTGTCTAAAGCCTTGCCTTTGGTATCCAGAAATGATCTGGATGAATTCCATAGCCTCTCAGGTTTGTCCTTATCTTCCAGAAGCAAATGTTGACAACAGAGTTCTTGCAAGAGTTTTGGAAATGAAGAGTGTATTGAGAGACATGGTGCTCAAAGAGAGTGTGCGAGCTATGCACAGGAAGAGCTGTGGGGGGAGATGGTGGTTCTGGGACGAGAACAGAATGGGAGAGCAAACAAGGACTCAGCGCCTTCATCCGTGATGACTGGGGAAAGGATGCAGAAGGTGAAGTGTGAGGGAAGGCAGGACACCCATAGGTGACTGCTCAAAGTACTCATGATCCCTGAAGAACGGAGAAACGAATGAAAAGGTCTTCTTTTAATAACAAAATGTCATTTCAGAAAACACAAGCAAATACTTTTTATTTCTTTTCCTCTTTGGTGATGTTTTAGAGAAAATGGCTGATTTTAGTGATTACTATTTTAAATTAAGAGAGAGGCAGAGAGAGAGAGACAGAGAGACACAGAGAGGAAGAAAGTAAGGCAGGAAGAAAGAAACCTTCTAGAACTGCTTACCAAATTGCAAAAAAAAAATGGAAAATATCAGAAGGTATGTGGCAGAGGAGTCTGTCATGTTTATGAAAGACAATTCACCATGTGTTTCATGGCAGAGGAAAAGGCCACAGGTATACTGAGCATCCGCAGAAGGGTAGCACAGTCTCCGGTCTCATGAAGCTTGTAGCACAGTGCTTGGAGCTTAGAGATGGTGAAAGGCTGGAGAGGTAAACAAGGAAACGTCAGCACAGGGTGCAGGGAAGAGACCTGACAATGAGCTGCCTCACTGAACAAGATCTTTAGGGAAGATGTTGTTCCACATAAGTGAATTTTCCAGGTAACTGTCACTTAGCCTTTTAAGCTCCAAAAACTTTTCAAAGAAATTTTTTACTATTTGAAATGAAAATCTTTTTCAAATGGATTACATGCTTCCTTGCCTTTCTAAACAGAGAAGAGTAAATGTAAAATGTAACCTTTGCTTGATTACTCAGGATCATCATTGGAAAAATCAGTTATTATCCTCTCCCTAGGCTCTGCCACACTTGAGGGGCCGATTCAGTCAGAGGCCCCCACTGGTGTACCTTTCCTCTACACCCTCAGACACCCTGAGCTGTAAGAGTCAGTTTTCACTCTCCCCAAACTGTGAAGACTGTTCTTGTCACCCTCAGCTATTTTCTGAGGATGGTTTTATCCACCTCAGGGCTCTCTACCAGATTCCAATGGGGTTGCCTACAGTTTTCCGACAATTGAGTTCTGTAGAACTATAGGAAAATGAAAATATGTACATTCTAACTGTGGAACTTCCTTTAGAATGAGTTTTTCTGAACTATAACTTGGCTACACCACTATCTTCATGTACATGCAGTTTTTCCCTTCAACTCCACTATCTTAAAATCTCTGAGTGGGTCTGAATGGGAAATGCATGGACTTTCAAGAGGCTGTCTTGGGAGTAAAGGTTGGACTCTGTGCTTACCACTCAGGTGAACCAGTACATCTGCCCACTTCCAAATTCACTGCCTGAAAAATATGCCTGGGCATCCTAAACACCCAGCCTACATAGGAAAAACAGAGGAACAGTATATCTGTGGTACTTGTACAATGCTTAGTAAGTATTAACTATCTACAAACTCTGGTGTCCTTGTTCACAGCTTCTGCTCCAGCAGAGAAGGTCAGAAATTCTGCCATGATAGAGAATAAAATCAAAGAAGAATTTTATTGTTCTTTAATTCTGTAAATAGAAGATTTGTAATAATTATGTAGGAACAGGATTGAAAAATTTATAAAGGTTGGTAATCTCACCACCCAAAGTTACCAATATAATATTTCATTGCGCAGCCATTTAGATATTTTTTCAAGTATACAGTATATTCACAAAGACACATTGGAACATGCTCTGCATATATTTAAGCTTGAAGATTCTCAAACTCTCCTTTCCCTTTGCATTCTGCATCAGTATAGGAAAATGGAGGAGGACCATGACATGGATACCCATATCGATTTTCTTTTGTGCTCAAATAATATAGTGAAGATGCCTTGTGCTTCATGTTACACCTCCATACTAGTCACTGATTGGGGATGGGTGAGGACAATACTCATCAGATGTTAATGTGGGCCTATCTTTACCCTTACTGAAGCTTGAACACCTACTAGAACCTCCATGGCAGCTTCCAAGGCTCATCAGCTCTCCAGAGGGGACCCTGTATGTCCCTACAAGAGATTCCTCAGAGCCTTCCCTTTCTGGGTTCTAACTTTGGTTTTGGATGCCTTGATCTAGGAGTAGCATAAGAGAAGAGAGAGAATGTCGGAGTAAGGTTGTAGATGGCACGCCAGTGTGTTTCTCATTCAGTGTGTAACTGATCCATGACACTGTCATTTTCTGACAGTTTCCTGTAATATACTTCCCAAGTGACTGATACAGACCAGCAAATGGAATACATCATCTCTTTTTAACTGGTGATTTTATTAGAAACCTTGGAAAAGTATTCCAAGGTATTTGGGTCCATAGGAAAAGTATCTTCCCTATTCCCACACATCTTAGCTGCCTGCCAGCTGCCTGCCAGCTGCCTGCCAGCTTACATGGGACTTAAGGTCCTGTGATACAGAGCAACTTCTGAGAAGGGTCCGAGTATATCACAAGCCTACCAGTGCTCACTAGCTCCTGCCACACAGGAGGAGGTGGCCCCTTGTCCTCAAGCAGAATGGCTGCTCTGGTTCAGCCCATGCCTTCTCTCACTTGTCAGTACCTCTGTGAGATTTTGCCTGAGTCCTGGCTCTTAAACTCCTGGCTCTTGAAGACAGCATGCTATGAGGATGTGAAATATAGCAAGATTCACACAAAGGTATGTTTTCAGGGAGAATAGAAAAATAAATCCTGAGATCTCAGTCTGAATGATTCTTTAATTACATAGTCAATTAGCTCCATTACCCACAGCTTTCCTCTGGAAGGAACACAAAATTGAAAGGAGCACAGGAAACCTAGTGCTGATATTCTGAAGAAAACCACCAATGAACATCCCTCCTATCCTCAATTTCTCTTCCATTAGTTCATGTGGTGCTGAGAATGCTTCCACTGGATTTATAGGCTGAGACTTAAGTATCTGGTATATGTGTCCTTTCGTATTTCAAGTCTGTGGGGAAAGTTTGTGAAAGCTGTGAAACACTTGTGTTATGGTTTCTGTTGTAGTCAGAAGTTGTGAAGAGAACAACTAGAACCAGGACACATAATTTATAATATTATTTTATAACGGTCACCCAGAGTTAAAGATAAGAAAGTACAGGAAATCTGTCCACAATACTGAAGACACAGAATATTCATCAAGAGTCTGGATCCCACAACAGTGTCCTGTATGAGTGCAGATGAAGACCTAGAGCCTATTACAATGCCTCCCATGAGTCCAACTGGTAGCCTAGAGTCCACGACACCTGTCTGTTTTATGGATCATCTGAGATGACCCAAAGGCCAGTGGTGGAAGCCAGAAGTCTGTGCCAGTGGATGAAGGAGCTGTGCCAGTAGGTTGAGAGTTCTATGCTGGAGCAGAGAAGTCACACTCAAAATAAGCACCGGGGCTGCCCTTAACAGTACCACTGCCATCCTCAGCCACAAGGAGGTCCCTAGTTCCTCCAAAGATGAGAACAGTGAGTACATGCCAAAAAGTCAGAATGACAAGCTTCTCCTGGAGATTAAGCAGCACACATCTTCACCTCTAGAGCCAGGAGCCAATACTGAAAGTAAGGATCAGAGCTCCTCCAAAGTGAACCACAGCCACTCTCAGTGACAAGGTCCCAACCTCCTCTGATGATAATGGCAGAGTTCCTATCAGAGAAGCCAGCATGACAAGCTCCTCCAGAAGAACCAATGGCTTGAAACAACAACACTTAGGAGAACCCACAAATGCCAAGCACTTCTTCTCCTCAGGTGGGCCATCTACACCCAGTACCATACTGATTTAATTCAGCTGGTGTTAAATTGACCACCAGTTTTTAATCCATAACAGTTTCAATCTTGGATGGCACATTGCGAAGCCCATGAGTTAAATGCTTAGTCCTGAGCTTTAGGGATCTTGAAATGTCTTGCAAGCTGTAAAAGATGGAGTCTAGTAGAAGGTCTTCCAGTCTCTGGAGCATGTCCTTGAAGGGGACAGTAGGTCCTTCATTTCTCATTGTACTGTTTCACTTCCTGGACGTAATGTTGAGCAGTTTTTCTCTTCTCACTCTCATCTCAGGTCTAACTCCATAGGGCCAAATGATCAAAACTGTGAGCCAAAGTAAACCTTCTGTCTTTTTAAGTCAGTTGTCTCAGGTATTTATTACGGGGGAGGAAACCTAACACAATATGAATCCACTGAACATTCAGACTCTATCACTTTGAAATCTAATAGCCCTTAAAATGACCTAAGCTTGAGTTGGCTTTGTTTTTCCTGAACAGAAGACATTTACAGAGGAAATCAGTCATGCAACTGAGGACTCTTTAAATTTTTTAGGAGAACTAAGGATGCAGAGCCTTCTACCACTTTGGAACCTGTGTTTACCCCAACCTCTCATCCATGCAGGCACACAAGTGGTTTCTACCTGAAGTCAACTTAGCTTTTTGTGTTCCACAGTGATTTAAAGGTATAAAATCCTATTTCTTTGAAGATTTCTAACATTTTCAACTTTCCTTTTATTTTCTAAATACTGATACTCGAGCAAACATGGAGGCAACTAGTTATGTAATAGATAGATCAGAATATGTGGCTATAAACTATGTTCAATTACAAAAATATTTATAATATATTCAGTATTATAATCCTATTTGTAGGTTCT